GGGCGGCGGGGCAGGGGGCGCCCCGTCTGCGGCGGCGTCGCTGGCAGCGCAGCTGGCGGCGTCGGCGGCGTCTGGCGCCTCACTCAAGCCCTGGGAGCGGATGCAGCAGCAGCAGCAGCAGCAGCAGCAGCAGCAGCAGCAGCAGCAGCAGCAGCAGCAGCAGCAGCAGGCAGCCGAGCCTCAGGCCGAGGCGGCCGCCGACGCGGCGCCCAAGCGGCGCGGCCGCAAGCGCTCGGCGCCACCAGCGCCCGATGCGGCGGCGGGCGGCGGGCAGCTGCCGCCGCTGAAGGTGTTGTCGCCAGAAGAGATGGCGCGGGTGGAGTCGGTTGCCAACAACCCGCGGCGGCAACCGTCGGCCGGGGCGGCGGGTGACGACCTGTCATACGGCTGACCCCTCGTGATGGCTGATAGCTGTTGGCATTTGAATTCGGGTGTCACGCATTTTGGCGGGAGGTGATCTTGACTGGGGTTTGACCCTGACCCTGCACCGACTCAGCGCCGGCGTGCGTCCCTGCGCGCGCTTTCGGTGGGCTTTGCTGCGAGGGAGGGGCGGCTGTGCAGATGGCGCGCCCACGCTCTGGGGCCATGGGGGGAGCAACCACTGCAGGCACTGTGCGGGCGCTGCGAAAGCGCCGTGGAAGCCATCTCGTCCCACGGAATTGTGGATCCCGTAATCAAATCACGCCGAGGCGCCTTTTTGCCGGGATTATGTCGTGATGATGCAGGGAGAGGCTCGTGCCTTTGGACAGGTCACGATTGGGGGAGGGGCTGCAACAGGTCACGATTGGGGGAGGGGCTGGCCAGCCGCCGGGGCGGCCAACAGACACTGAGCACGGTGAGGGGGGCAAGCACCAGTGCGCGCAACGCAAGCAAGCGTATCGCTCCCTTCAGCTTCACGGGGAGCTGCTAGCCAGGTCTTCGTCATCAAGTCTGCTGTGGGCTTCACTGTTGACACGGACATGGCGGGTCACTCGGACCCAAGTGCCTGGGGGTGAGACTGGCCAACGCCCAGCACCTTCAGGCGTGACCTCACCCTCTGGACAGGCCTGCATCATCATATCGAGATCGCCTGCATGCCCATGTGGGCGCATCACCGGACGGGCACGTTCCGTCATGGCCTCCTTGGTCACGGCTCGCTGCCCGGAAGCCGCTTGGGCCCGATCAGACCAGATCGTGGCGTTAATTGTTATGTTATAACCACGTGCTTCGGTTAAGTCATCCACGTCAACCTCGTGTCAAGCACTCCCAGTATCCCTGTCGTTGCTCGAGGATGTCTCTGGCGCCCAAGCCTACATGCCGATGGATCATAAGGACGCGGCCCGCTCACGGGGTCGCTGCGAGCCACCTGCAACGCGCGGCGACCCGGCAGCGCAACCGCGGCGCGCGCTGGGCGGGCGTGGCGGGCGCGGCTGGCCAGGGCGCACCCGGCCGTGACGAATCCTGCAAAGACTACGACATGGCGGCGCCCGGCCTGGCCAACCCCAACGCCCCCTGGGGCTTCTTCACCGCTAACGAGTTTGATGATGGAACCGTGAGTTGCCAAGACGCAGCCCCCACCACCAAACACTTGTGTCATGCACGACAAATGCTCCCAGCGGAATGCGCGCCGGAATGATTCCCGCCCGTGATGAGTCGTGGCCGCAGTGCGTCAGGCTGGCCTGGCCTCCGGCCCGCGCCCAACGCCCGGTGCACACTGGCGCCCATTGTGCACACAGCCGTGCCCGCTGCTTGCCATGTACATAAATCCTACCTTGCTCTGCACCCATGGCCTACCTTCCTCTTCCAACTGCCTTGACAGATCATCCTCACAGTGCCAACGCACCACGCATGCCCCAAACCCGTATTTTTGGAGTTTTTCGGCCTGCCTGATCTGGGGGTCGTTCCCATATTGTCAAAGCCCCGCCTCCTTTCCGCGCCGCCGCACCCGCCCACCCCCCACCCTGCCCCCTCTTCAGATGCGGGTCAAGAAATCCCTCACAGACCTCGGGACGGGCGGCTCTGTCACCGCCTTCTCCCTCAACTGCATCAAGGCCATCCACTGGCTGTCCTTCCCCCTGGGGTTCTGGGTCGCCGGCTTCATCGTGGTGCACGCTGACAAGATCCTCCCGCTTGTTGGCAATGACCCTGTGCGGCATTACTTGCTGGTGCTCAGCGTGCTGACACAGGTGTGGCCGCGCGTCTGGAGGGGAGGGGGCCCTTATGCATTATTGTGTGTGTGTGTGCGTGCGTGCGTGCGCGCGTCCGTGCCCGCGTGCGTGCGTGCGTGCGTGCGTGTGTTAGTGACGCGCAAGCGCGCGCGCATGTGTATGTGTGTGTCCTGAGTGGGTGTGTCATGAACAGGCCATTGCTTGAAACATTCTTCTATGAGGTTGATGCCTGGCCCTGGTCATTGGGACCTCGCCTCTAGCCTCGCATGCGTGGGCATGCTCCTTGCTGCTGCACACACTGATTTCGACTGCTGCTGTCTCATCAAAACTTGCTTGCAGGTCTTTGGGGGAGGGATAACTGGCAACATGATGCACGAGTGAGTGTCGAGCATGCGCCCTCACGCACAGCAAGAATATGCAACGCACGTGGGTGAATGGGATATGGACCTTCACACCTGGCGCTAGCTCGAGCTCCCCTTCGCTGTGCCAAAGTGCCGTGCATACGCGGCCTTGTTGCATCCAAGCAATGCGCGTGTGGTGCACCATGGGTGGGCCTTGACAAACCCCATCTTCAAACTTTTTAGGCTTGGCTTGTGGGCCAGGGCTTGGGAGATTGCTCACAGTGCTGAATGGCTGAGGTGCAAAGGGCAAGGGTGCACATGGCACTCGGACATAAACAGGGCGCAAGCTCAGGTTGCTTGGCCGCACGCCTTGCGTGCGCAGGTACGAGTCGTGGCAGGTGGCGCCTTTCAGAAACCCCTTGACGCTTCAGGGCGCCGTTGATGACGCGGTGGCGGGCTGCAAAACGGCGGACGAGCGCCTCGATTGCGTGCTGAAGCGGGCCGGCAATGTGTACGTGGGCAGCTACAACAACGCCTGGCTGAGGGCAGTGGCTTACCGCTTCCTGTTCTTTTTTCAGGTATGTGGTACCTTTCTACACCGCCGATGGTTGCTGCTTGCGCCACGCTGGTGGCGTTGGTGTGCACGCCCCTGATGGGGAGTCGGGGACCTCTGATGCGGGGGGGGTAGCTGGCTGTTCATTGAACATGTGCATGCACAAGCGTGCAAGCAAACCCCATTTTCCCCGCCGCACACACACTCGCGTTCCGCCCACCGCCGCTTCCCAAACTCCGCATCTCCAGTCCCTCGCCATCGCCCTCTCCAGCGTCGGCGCGCTGGGCTTACCGACAGGTGCCACCTCATCTTGGCTGCAGTGGCTGGCCGCTGGGATGGTGCCTGTGACAGTCTTTGTGGGTCTCATCGGCCCCTTCAAGCCGGTCACCCAGGCATCCCTCTTCGGCCAGCCGCTGGGGCCGCTGCCTGTGGTCCTCCTGGGGTCTCTCGTGGTCAACTTCTTCATCGGAATTCCTGCAGCCACGCAGCTCTTCGGGGCCAGCCTCGCCGCAGCCTGGCCGCCGACGGCGCCCCTGCCAGTGCTCGCTGCTGGCGCCGCGGCGCTGGGAGGCCTCCTGTTCGCGTGGCGGGGCGCGCTCGTCGGCGCGGCGGGCGGGGCGCTGCTGCTTGGCGCCGCGCAGGCCCTGCCCTGGACCCCTCCGCTGTGGCTGCTGTCGATCCTGCCTATAGCAACAATTGCAGGGGGCGGGCTTGTGGAGGGCTTTATTGCGGAGACCACGTGCGACCAGTGGTGAGCACCTGTGCATACATACTGATGGGTGGCGACCCCTGCCTCAAAATGTTTTCGTGGTTGACCGCGCCAGTCGCTCCTCACTACGGCCAGTGCCTTGATGACAATGGTTATTGGAAGGAATGTGATGTGACAGCGGCTTTGCTGTATGTGGCACCATCCCTGCTGGCGGCTCCACCGCGCGCCCCGGCCGCCTGCCTGTCACCCCCACGAGCAGGTGGCACTGGAGGGCGTTTGTGATCCTCACGCTGGGCTTCGGGATGCTGGGCCTCTACTACTGGCACCTCGTCTTCCCATGATCAAGCGCAGGCCAGCAATGTCATTGCTGTGTGCCCCAGGCTGCCTCTGCCCTTGGGTGCCATGTGCCCCGAGCTGTCACACATCCTGACAGCTGTGTATCTATCATTCTAATTAGATCTCACTGAGATGTCGGCGGCTCGCCTCGGTCGCTCTCCACTGCCAGCAGCCGCCGGTGCGGCTGCCGCCCACTGCCCACCCGACCAATACCATACGCATTGCTCGAGCCTGACCTGCACGCCCCTTGCCGGCATCGTGCGATCCCCTATCATACGATCCCCACGTGCGTGAAGATTTGAGGGGGATGCGGCCTTAGATGTATCCTCATCAGCCCTGGCCTCTCCAGCGCTCGCAGCGCGATAGCATAGAGCATCTAGCTGCGCCGCGGCAGCGAGGCTCTTTGCAGCCTGTTGTCGGTGCAACAGATGCGCGGCCAGCTTGCAAGACTCAAACCGGAACCTGGGCCGTGACGAAGTCCAACCAGCCTTGCGAGGACAATCTACCCTGCATCGGTCGGTGCTTGTAGTTGGCCATCCGCCCATGACTGGTGAACCTTATGGCAATCCCTCAAACCCAAGGACACTGCATTCACCCGCTGCTTTCATGCTTGTTCCTTTCATGTTTGCCCCTGTTTGCCGAGGCTGACTTGTGCGCGTCTGGTGCTGCTGACCGCGATGTACTGCGGGATGGCATTCCGCAGCGCAAAGAGTGCTCCCCAGCCGCAGTTCAATGCTGGCTGCTGCTCTGAGTTAGGGTGATGCTGCCCAAGCAAGATCGCGCATCTTGAGTCAGTAGGCAAAGACTCACCGTGGGGACCAGTAAAAGAAATCGAATGTGACAGCCGGGCTGAGTGTTGCTTTGGCCGCCAGCTGACAACATCATCGGCATTACGATTTGGACCAACGTTCACGGGCTGCGGGCGCGATCTTGGCCCGCGTATGACCCTGTGCAATCGCATTGCGGGTGTCCGTCCCTTCTCGCACCAGGGCGCGCCACGGCCCAACAGGCTGCAGATTACTAATTACTAGTAGGTGGCGCCGCCGCGCCTGTGGCGTAGGGGCCGTGATGGCGGCAGCGAGAACTCGTGCATGTGCTGCACATGCACTGTTCAACTATTCCTGTCACGACAATCCTATCAATTGCACCATCACCTCTAGTGGGTGGACACATGTGGCTGGGTCCTGCAGGCCTGTGGACTCCTCTACAGTGTACTGTATTCAATTCTGGTTGCTGTGCACCGCGGCCTCCTGCACTCGTAGTCAACGTGCCCAGGTATGGGCAGCGCGACGGTGCGAAGGTGTTGATACCGGTGCAACACGTCGCACATGTTGCTACATTTGCACTGCGGTAGCTTCAAACCTCGCTCGCCCTGTTTACTGCCACCGAGGCTCCTTGCACACGCCAGCGATCCATTAGGGGCACAGCAGCTGCAGCAGTGATGTCTTTGAGTCTAAAGGCGCGCGTGAGCGCGGGCAGCAGCGGCAGCAGGTGCGGAGGACAGAGCAGAGATCACCTCACAGCCACTGCAGCACAGCTCTCACGCGCAACCTCCTCGTGCACAGGTGCTTAGTGAAAGTGAAGGCCAATTTGACGCCTTGTGTCGGCATCAAGTCATCAGGTGCGCCTTTCACGCCTGCAAGGGTGGCTAGACGAGTGAGATCGCAGGCCATCAACCTTGTGCTGTGCACCCTTCACAGGCGAAATGCAGCGGCTATGCAAGCAGCAGGCGCCTTCAAGCTTCTGGCAGGCAGCGGGCAAGCAGATAAACGTCCGCAGGCAAGCCATTGGACCTTTGCGCGCGCCGCTGCGCCGCTGCTCGTGTGGTCGTGCGCTGCTACTGGGGCAGCGCGTGCAATCCGCGTCTCCGCCTCAACCTGATTACCTGCGTGCATCACTAGCACATGCATCATCAACGTCCCGCCTCCCGCTTCATTTGTCTGTGCGCAGCCGCGGCAGCAGCGGCCCTCGGCGGCGTGCCACGACGATGATGGCGGTGGCTGCCCCGAAAGTGCTCATGCGGCCGCCGGGGGAGAGGCAGTTCCAGTGGGTCGACATGTGGGAGGCCTACGTGAGTGACGGGGGCTGCGATTGGGGAAGGGCAGGCCGGATGTTCATGTGGCAGCATGTTTTTTTCTCGTATTCACGGGCCATGACGGGCGCTTCAGAGCGGTGGTTCCAGTATCGGCTGTTTTCCCAGCCGGACGCAAGGCGTCGTGATTGCGATTGGCTGCTGGGCTCTGGGGTCGCTTTGACAGGCGATCCGTGTGAGGCCCACCGTGGCAGCTTGAGGTGGCCGGCGCACAGCCTGACATTGCCACACTTGCAATGTGTTTGAACCTATGACAAGAAGCATGGGAATGACGTGGGGCGTGTGTTTTACACCCCCCCCTTCCCAAACAAATCCCTGTCTGCTCAACACTCCGATTTCAACACACACACACATACACACACACACTTTTTCACACATGCCTGCGCACACACTCAGCACACACGCTTGCACACATCACACACACACAAAACACACACACCACGCACCCTCAGACCATGAACAAGGTGGTGTTCATTAAGGAGCCCGTGACTGAGGACAGCGCCAACAACCTCATGGCGCTCACGCTGTACCTAGACAGCGTTGACCAGAAGCGCATCTACTACTGGTGAGGCTTCCTGGCACTCAGCCACGGTCAAACGTGGTCAATTGCGGCAGGCCGCAGATCCGCCAGCTTCAAACGCCCGTCGCACAGCGGCAGCCCTGGAATAGCCAGGGTGTTCACCATGTCCTTTCCAGTCTTGTCCCCAGCCCACGCCCTCATGCCATGCAATTGGCTACTGTCAGCTGGCCCTCGCCTCTGTCTGGCCTCGACGTGCCCGCGTGCCTCCCCACAAGCAGCCCTCGCTCGTTCCCGCCGCCCCACTGCAGGCTCAACTGCCCCGGCGGAGAGGTGGTGCCCACGCTGGCGCTGTATGATACTATGCAGTATGTCCGCAGCCCCACGGCCACCGTCGGCTATGGCATGTGCCTGGGCATGGGCGGCTTCCTGCTCGCGTGCGGCGGCGAGAAGGTGGGCGGGCGGTGCTGCTGGGTGGGGCGGAGGAGGGGCGGCGGGAGGGTGCGGCGCGGCGCGCGGTTTGCACCTGTGGTTGTGTGCCTGCACATGAAGCGCAATATTCGTCGTTGCGCTCCCACCTTGACCTGATCCGCGAGCAGGTGGGTGCACAAGCGCACTGTTGGATAGGTTGAAAACCGCTACAGTTACGTGGCCCCAAACCCCCGTCTCTCTCTTACACACACACACACACACACACACACACACACAGGGCTACCGTTACGCGATGCCCCACAGCATCCTCATGATGCACCACCCCAGCGGCACCTCGCGCGGCCAGGCCAGCGACATGCACATCGAGGCGCGGGAGCTGGTGCGCATGAGGGACTACCTGTCGCTTCTCATCTCAGACCACACGGGCCAGCCCTACGACAGGGTAGGTCAAGGGAGGGGGTTGGGTGTGAACGTTTCTGTGTTTGCGTGTCGCGTGTCAGGGTAGGCGAGTGCAAGTGTGTCTGGGAGTGTATGTGTGTGTGTTTTTGTGTGTGTGTGTGTGTGTGTGTGCACGCATGTGCGTGCATGCGAGAGTGTGAGTGTGATTCTGTGTGCGCACGCGTGTGTGTGCACGCCACAGACGGTCTGATTGCAGCAGGCATCTCAGGCTTTGCTTTGAAGCTCTCTGGGCGCGTGGCTGCCACAACTGGCCGCCAAATGTGAGCCGTGTGACTGCTTACAATGACGGCGGCGCGGCGCGTTGGCTCTGCCGCCTGGGGTGGTTCTGTTCGCACCAGCACCTGGGCCCCGCATGCACTCACTCCTCAGGTGATCCGTGAGCTGTCGCGCAACAAGTGGATGAACCCCAAGGTGCGGCGCGAGCTTGTTGGCAGGCGCACGCGATTGCAGATCTTGCGTGGCGCATGCCTGTGCAGGGGCCCCTGCGTGCCTGCACGAGTTGAGGCTGCCCCCCCTCCCAGGAAGAGACATCGGCGGCGCTTGCCGCTGCTGAGCCTCGGGCTTCACTTGCTGTGAATCAGCCGAACTCAGCTCAGGATCCCCCAAGTTTGCATCGTGACAATCACAGGCCAGATCCTGGCCCCACCCCATGCTTGTCGCACGGAACGTACTTTCGTGTCTGGTTTGATTTCACCCGCCTCACATGCGCTCGGTTGTATCTCACTCGGCAACCACCTGCACTACTCATTCCACAGGAGGCCATCGAGTATGGCATGATCGACAAGGTCCTCACCACGCCCATGCCCAAGATGCCGCAGCTGGGACCCAAGTTCAAGTTTGAGCGGCAGGACATCGGCGTGTGATCCCGCGCGTGCGATCGCACGCCCATGCTCTATTTCGATTTCCGCGTCGGACCCGCTGCATGTATTGATGTGAGCGCGCCTCGGCGGGGGTTTGGGCGGGTGCCGCGCTCCTGGCCACTTGCCGGGTGTGCGCCTGCGCCGTTGTAATTGACCGACCACCCGGGGGATGACGTGAGCGCTTAATAACCCCGGTCGGAGCGGGCTTTGCGGGTGACAGGTCCAGAACATGATGGTGGTGCGCAACAGGCGGGGACACTTCGGACGTTGCGTTGTCCAGGGCAAGGCGATTTGCGCTAGGCTGAACTGGGGTGACGCCGGCTGGAATGTGTGCATGCAGCTGCTCGTGGACGCCCTGCAGCTGAGCGATGTCAGCAACATACTGAGCGCTATGACAAGTAAATGCTGCCGGCGTGCAAAGGCATTGCGCACAAGCCAGTGTGCAAAGGCATTGGGCACAAGCCAATGGTGCATCATCAGGCGGCGCCCAAATGGCGCTGTGCAGAGGTCGCATGTCCATTAGAGGGTGAATTGAAAGCAGCTATGGGCACCGCTGTTCGACCAGATAAATGTTGCGCAGAGTAAATTTATGGACATTGAATAAGGACACGTCGGATCGCATTTGGTCGCCGCAGTCGGTGACAGTGGTCGGGTGGAGGCAGTGACGTCCGGATCGATCACGAGTGGTGCACGGCGCGAACGGCTCTATAAAAGGCTGCGAACATTTCCCGTCTGTGTAGGTCCAGGAATCAGACCGGCCAGGGAGGGACAGCACCTACAAACCCAGTCCAGAGCCTGTGGCTGCGGGCTCTGAAGATACATCGGATCGGAATCTGGCTAGTTGCCAATCCCATGGCGCCTAGTGGCGCGTGCCATCGGATTACGCTGGGGGTCGCGACGATGCTCGCGGTGCTGCTGATGGCCCCCGCCCTTGGGGCAACCGCAAAGTGCGGACAATTCAAGCTTATTGCAATTGGCGACAGCATCACGAAGGTGGGCACCAGGATGGGCCGCACCAAAGCACCCGTCGCATTTGCAGAGAATGTAGGTTGCACCCCGCCTGCCAGCCACTCCCAACCTGTGGGTCCTAACCAAAGCCCGTTATGGTTCAGTATCATACGCGGCGGCCTATGCGGCACTGCAGAGCCTCACCGTCCCGCGTATGGTGTGAGCCATACATTTCGTCGCGCGCCGTCCTGATCAATCGGCACTGTGTCACCCCAACCCACTCCCGTCACATGCATGCCAACATGTTGAGCCATGTGCCCCTATGTCGTCTTCCCCCTTCCCCCCTAACAAAACACAACACCAAATCGTGACACAAGCACGCCTTCATCCACTCTTGAGCTTGCCGACCACCCACCAAAACCATCGGACACGCAGGGCTCCATCCCTTCAAAGGCCATCAACAGCCCCTACATCTTGACCACCAAAGAGCAGCTGCAACAGGCGCTGGGCGGCTGCTTCGACGTGCAGGCCACCGTGGCGGGTGCGCCTGCTCGGTCTTCTGCGCGCACGCCGCCCGCGAGCACCCTCCATGCCTGACAAGCCCCTCCGAAGCCAGACGCAGGCCGAAGCACCCTTTGGGGCAGAGGGAGCCAATCGCCTGGCCCGACCGGCGAACACTGAGCCTCGTTTCGCCCTTTCTAACGCGCCACACGCCGGCATTGAGCTGTGGGGTCGCCTCCGGCCGGCCCCCCAGCGCATGATACTCAGCACATCATAGAAACACCCTCCCCTCCCTGCCCATGTCCGGCGACCCTGATTCTCACGTGCCGCCGCAGCCTGCGGGGGCGCGGGCGTCTTTGTCAAGAACCCCCAGACGGTGCTTGAGGCGGCGCTGCCCACGCTGCGCTCTGAGGCCTTCGATTGGGCAATGAGTGAGCGGCCGCCGCCCCCTGCGCAAACGACCCTGGGAGGAGCGCAGGGGAGCAGATGGGCAGGCCGAATGGGTTTGCTCTGTAGCTCACCCCTCCCCGTGGGCTGGCCAGCCGACCAGCTCGCCGCTCGCATGTGGCCACAAGAGCCCCCTGGGCGCCACGCCCCGTCGCTGCCCGCGTTGAACCCAGGCAACCATCCGCTCCCCAAACCCCGCTGCCGCCACGCCCCGCGCTTTCCATCAGTCATGGTGGGCACGAATGACATCCTCACCCTGAGCAAGACGGCCAAGGAAGTGTGGGAGGGCGGCCTGAAAGCCCTGTATGATGAAGTGCTGGATTCTGGAGCCAGGGTGGCTGCCATGCTGCCGCTGCCGACAGGCCTTGTGGGAAGGTGAGTCCTGTGAGCTGGGTATCGTGCGCGCGCGCGCGCGTGTGTGTGTGTGTGTGTGTGTGTGTTTTTGGGGGGCGGTGCATTTACAAGTGTGCTCCGTCCTGGGAGGGGGAGGGGAGGGGGGGTGGAGGGCGGGGGATGAAGAGGCCGCCGGGGCCGTCAGAGGCGCAGGTGGGATTGCAGGCGCGCGCGCTGCCGTGGACTGTGCGCTCACTCGAGTGCAAGGCGTGCGGCCGCACGCGTGCACGTGTGTGTGAGCATGCACACACACGCGTCCTCACATGCGCTGCTGTACTGGCTGTCCTTCGGTTGGGCTAAATTCAGTCTGCGCGGTAGAGATTGAACCCATCCGTCGTGGTCAATCAACCCTGCGCGTGCCCACATGACAACCCAGCAACGACCCCAAGGAGAAGGAAAGGCGGGCGCTGGGTGACATCATATACGCATACAGCAAGCAGAGGCCAGGGGTGTACCCCCTCTACTAGTGAGTGGACACATCGTCGATGTTGATTACTGTCAATGGAGAAAAGGATTTTTGACAAGCAACGGCTTTGCAAATCAGAGGCAGCCTCTGCAACACATACACGCCCCGCTCAAGGGCTGGGGGGCGCCACGGGTGCCAGAGCCCAGCAGCGTCAGCGACGGGGCGTGGGCGACGCGGGAGCGAGGGTGGGGCACGCACGAGGCGATGCCGGAGGGACCAACAGGCCAGGCTGCTGACTGCCTCGCAGGGGCGGCCCTTTACCGGCGCAGCTGTCCCTCCCCCTTTTATCAGCGCGTCCGGCCCACTCGTTTCTCGTTTCTCAACGGCCTTCTCGACCGCCGCTCGTTCTGGCTTCCCATTCGCCTTCTCAACAGCCTTCTCAACCGCCTTCTTAAACGCCGCTCGTTCCCAATGCCTTACCCCCTTGCAGCGGCATCGACTGGACAGAGGAGCAGAGGGTCAAGTGGCTGGACCAGGACAGGTCAGCTCGGGGGGGCCTCACACGCCCAGGGAGGGGGAAACAGGACTGTCTGCTTCAGCGCTGGTGTCTGCGAGGGTGCGGCACGGGGCTGCAAGCTGCGTTGCTGCGCCCATCGGGCCTTGTCTGGGCTGTTGACCGCGGAGGACACCAATTGACGAGACCTGGCCGCCCCTATCCAAGGATTATACGATTCGCTCTCCGCCCCACCTTGCCGGCCCGCCCGCGCGATGACTTTGACGCTATTGTTCTCGCCGCGAACTTCTCGCCCCCCGCCCAGGCTGCACCTTAGCGAGGAGGGTCACAGGGAGCTAGGGCGCCAGGTGTACAACGTAGTGCGCGTCAGTAAGCCCCTTGGCGGCCGGCGAACGCGATTACATCGGGAGTCCAAAGCGTGATGCGGACGTGGCACGCGAACCGGCTTCGGGGGAACACGGCACGGCTGTTGCATTTCCTATGCTGCCGCCGCTCGCGCCTGGCGCCTCGGCGTCGGCTGTCGCTCGTACCTTTCGTCCGCCTGCCAGCCCGCGCTCTCGCCCACTCGCACGCAGGTTGTGTCTGCCAGCTGCTCTGACCGCCCTTGCTGCGCCCGCCTTAATTCTGGTCCCCAACCTCTGCAGTAATGGGCAGGGAGCCCTGCTCAAGCTGCACCAAGTTTACTGATGGCCTCAACCCCACAGCACGTGCCAGGAATGCGGCGAACGCGGCCAATGCAGCAAACGCGCGTGGCAGCGACCCGGGAGGCGCCGGCCCCCAGCCTCAGTTGTTCAACGCCGCCGGGCAGCCGCTGCCCGCCAGCACGCCAGCCCCGGCCAACGCAGCCAACGCGCGCAACGCGCGGCCGCCGCTGCCGGCGCCGGCAGCCGCGGCCGAGCCTGCGGCGCCGGGGTTCTTTGGGCTGCCTTTGTTTGGAGGCATCCAGTTTCCAGGAGCGGGCGGCTTTGGATTCGGCGGCCTCAACTTTGGCGCCCCTCCGCCCGGCGACGGCAGCGGCGGCGCGAGCGGAGGGATCACCCGGTACCACCAGTGTGGCGGCGAGGGCGCCGAGTGCAGCAGGTGGGGGCCGGCGACGGGAAAGTAAGGGCAAAGGGGGTAGTGTGGATGGCCAGGGCCCGGGACGCGGCCAGCGTGGCCTGTCGCCAGTGCTGTCGTTTGCGCAGGGGGCGCCTGTGCGCCTCGGTCAAGCATCTCCACTCGTGGTACAACATGCATCCTGCCGCCACGCCCCTTACGCGCCTGTATGGTGTTTGGTGCCGACAGGCTGGGCCCATCGTTTTGCGTCGACAACCCGTGGCCTGGCTACAGCTGCCTTAACAGCGCCTGCCAGCGCGTCACAAACTGGTGAGCGCCGGCGCCTTGCGCATCTGACACGCCAGTGCAGGCCAGCTAGCGTGTGCCAGCCCTGTGAGCTCGGGCAGGCTGGCCGAAGCGCTGAGCGGTGTGTGAGCGGTGTGCGCTGAGAAGCCGAAGCGCCGCGCCGCAGCGATTGCTGTCTGACTCGGCCAAGCTATTAACCCGTCTGGGCAGTCTAAAGTGCACTGCAATCATGCAAGTTGTGTGCGCCCTGCGCACAGTTGAATCCATCCGTGCTGCTCACTCCCCACCCTAGGGTCTGGAGCTGCCTCTGACGATCCGGGGCGACGATTCAACTGCCAAACAGCATGTGGCAACCAGTCTTGACGAGGCCATCTGCAGCAGCTTGCTGGACGCACTCATGCTGTCCACAGCCTACCCCAGGCGCCCCGGACTGGCTGGCCGCGTAATCATTGTGCCCGCGCTTTGCAGATAAGGTGGCACGGCGCGGCCACTTGGCCGCGCGTAGGTGCGTCCTTTCCTTTCCTTTTCCTTTCCACCGCCTGGCGTCGCGCGCCGCTTGGCTTGCATGATGCTCGCACACCTGCCATGGGCGCGAGGCGCGTGCGCTGCCCGTCATGGCATCAGGCGGCGGTGCCTACTCTGCACGGCTGGCGCACACGTTCGCATGGCGATGCATGTGGCACTTGCCCACCCACAGAAAGAGCCTCACGAGCACCTCACAATCGCACACACCCTCTGATAGCACTAAAGACACTTGTAGGGATGACTCGACACGCAGTAGCAGGATGACCGTGCGATGAGCGGTTGTCACGATTTTGGCGGGAGTGCCGCGTTGGTGCCCAGAACAGCTCTGGCTTGGCGCTCGCCACGCAATCGCGACATGCCGGCGCTCACACACAAATAGAGCAGGCAGGAACGCTTTGCGACGCCCTTTTGGCTCGCCGCATTGCCATCAAGAATCAGCAGAACCTGACTTCACCCTCAGTTGCGCCCTGCATCGCATGCACATAGCTGTTTCCTGTTGAGGTGCTAGCTCCTCCTCCTCCAGAGCGCACCATGCACGTGTGGCTGCTTTCCCTGGCCGCGGCCAGCCACTTGAGATTGGCTGTCACGTTTCAAAGCACCAATTGCAGCAGTGGCTGCAACATTTGTGAGTTGTTGCTTGCAGCATACATGGACGGCGTCTGGATTGCTGTTGCCGCGTGTGTATGCTGTCTTAGACGTTGGCGAGGGCTCATTGGAACCTATAAGGTCAAGGGACACCCTCGCTCAGAGCGTGCACGTGGAATCAAGGCAGCACGTGGTGGGTGGTGCCCGTCCCCCCAGGCTTCCGTCCAGATGCCACAAACTACCAGTGCCGCGCCAAATTGCGGCGCAAAGCGGCACAGCTCAGGGCCGGCCATGTGCGGCCTGAGTGCATGCACAATTTATGACGGGACGAGGTTCCTGCATCTGGCCCCTGCATGTCGTCATTAGCCCTTATGCCCTTATGAGTGGTTGCTATTCCATCCCACATAATTTAAGCACACATTGTGTGTTGCGTTCTATGCACACGCGCTTGTGAGCCTGCTGCAGCCCTTCAGAACTGCCAAGTGCGCATGCGTCTTCAGCTGAGCGTATCTATGCTCACCGCAAACCTCCTTGCAATTTGTATTTCTTGCAACCTGCATCTTGCACTGCCTGGCCAACTACTCCCTTTGTCGCTGCCGTGCGGGAGGGACGTGGACAGGCAGCAGCTGCTGCGGGAGCAAGCACTCTGTTACATACAACACACTTGATGGACAATACATGCATGCCGTTTCCAAACTCAGGAATCCTTGGGGGGATTTCAAACAACATGGGACGCCTCGACACAAGCAGGGGTATGGGTCTTGGACAAGGGTCGTTAATAAAAGATTGGGTGCTTCAATGGTATTGATATATGTGATCCTACAATTGCCTCAACACGCTGCTGCGGCTGCACTGACAGGCCTGATACCTCCACCTGCCTCAAGCGCGCCTGGATGAAATCGCAAGCGCCCCGTCCCCTGCCACTGTGAGCGCAAGGAAAAGTCTTGCTGAGGGAGGGCTGCGTCCAACTGGATCTACCCTCACGGGACATCACGTCATTTCCCCAGCTCTCGTGAGCTCACTCATAAGCCTGTCACACAAAATGTCTCCAGGACGCAGGCACTGCGTTCATTGGAAAGAGTGACGCGAACCTGCGACTTCCACAGTACCGTATATGCGCAGAGTTGCTGGCCTTGATGTCAAAAAACAGACAGACGGACGCATTCACGCGTACCTCACAGCAGAACTAAGGTCTCAGCTCTTGTGTCACCCGCATCTTCATCGTGATCTGCCAAAGTTACGACCATGTGCGAGTGCAAGGCGCTGCCGATCCGCTTTGATTACACGCCGAAGGGCAAGGTTGAGGCCCTGGGTGGCGACCTGGAGGGCTATGTCGTTGCGGGTGGGCCGGACAGCACCACACGGAACTGCGCACTAACTGCCTGCCCCACTTGGCAGGCGGCGCGCACCAGCACCTTGCAGCTGACGCGGCCTCAGCGGCAGCAGCCTGCCTGGCAGGCCAGGCTGCATATGATTTTGCCGGCCGGCCTCTGCTGGTGCGCAGAGCCCAACGGCGGCGCTCATGCGCGGCGCCACCATCGGGACACGGGGCAACTCGACCCTCACCGCCACCCCTTGCAGGCACCAAGCCTGCCGCCATCATCATGCTGTATGACATATTTGGTTACACAGAGTACCCGCAGGTTGGTTTGAACCATAGTGGTGGCCGGCCGACCTTCAGCCCCCAGCGGCAGTAATCTGGCCGCTTGGTTATAAAAGGTTGACCCTCAAAGAGTGGCCGGCGCTGGGACCAGCCCCCTACAAAGAGAGCAACATGCCAGTGTCAGATGGGTCCCGCCTCGCCTCCAGCGGCCGATTTTTACAGTTGTGGCCGCCAGGACCGACCAGTCGGGCGCGGGCTTGTGCCTCAGACAGCGCGCCGACGACGGTGGCTGCGACTGCAGGCTGCGCGCCCACTCTTCATCGCCGCCGCAATTCGCTCCTCCGTTGCCGCCTCCAGGCTCCCACACCCTGCACACACATTTTCCCGGTCTGACCCGCTTCATTCCCCCCTGCACATGAACGCGCGCACACACTTCCCCCCCCCCCCCCATCCCCCCCCTCTCTCTCACACACACACACACACACACACACACTCACACACTCACACACTCACACTCACAGTCACAGTCACACACACTCACACTCATACACACAGTCTCACACACACACACACACACACTCAAACACACACACTCACACGCACACACATCAGATCAAGCAGGTTTGCGACCACCTGTCTGCAGCCACCGGCTTCACAGTTGCCATACCCGACGTCTTCAGGGGCAAGGTGAGGGGACCCCTCACCACCCTTGCCCATCCCTTCATCTTCCGAAGCCCGCCGCCCCCAACCCGACGGCGGCGCCTGAAGCTCGTGGTAGCGCCTGCGCGTCCAGGCCAATTAGTTATCCGCCCTCGCGTCGCGCGGCTGTCTTGTAGCGGCTGCTCTGCACTTTGGGGCCCAAGCGAAACACCCTCGCGACGTCCGCCCCAACCTCTGCCGCTCCGATTCTCATACTGCTGGATTCGCCTGACCCGCCCACTTTTGCAGCCTTGGTCGATGGCCAAGAGCCCGGCAAAGCCGGAGGACAACCTTATCGGCTGGATCCAGAGCGTGGGCAGCTACGCGAAGGTTTCCTCAGACCTGAAGCTGGTGAGGATGACTCAGCGCCCTCCCGCCACAGTGCACGCCACGCACCTGCTGCGACGCAACCGCTCTTTTCACCGGGTTTGTGCGTACTGCCCTCTTGAGGGAAGCTACGTGCCGCGGTGTTGCTGGAAACCGCGTACGCTATGAACGTATGCAGACACGAATGACACTCATTATCAAGTGATGTGATCATGCTGGCCTGTGCGGCCGCGCATTACTACATGGAGCACAGCAGGAACGATCCCAGCAGCTTGAAACAACAAGCATTGACCAGTCTTTGACCGCAAGCGCTGCCCCATGTGTGCGCGCGTGCCCCTTGTAGACCGTGGACTTCCTCAGGGCACGCGGCGCCGAGCGCTTTGGCATCGCTGGCACCTGCTGGGGGGCGTCCATCGCCCTGACCGCCTGCTCTCAGCCGGACGGCGTCTTTGAGGCCTGCGCAGGGTGGGTTTTTTTGGGGTGGAAGGGGTGTGTGTGCTAGCCAAGCCTCCCGCCCGCCGCGCGCCCGCAGAGCCAGGCACCCTGTGTTTGTTGTGGGGCCGCCCAGCTCAGCGCTCCGATGCTTGCGGTGCGGGCGCGGCCGACTCCGGGCCCGTCTTCTACAGGGTCGATCCCCTCTCCGTTTCCGCACGCTGCATCAGCTGCCCGCCCCCTGCCGCTGCCCACCCTTGCAAAACCCCCTCTGCCGCCGCCCGGCCCTCTGACGCCGCTCGTCCCGCACCCCGCCTCGCGCCAACCGCAGCCTGCACCCCAGCCTCTTTGGGAAGGACAAGGAGTTTGCAGAGGCGCTGCTTCGGCCCGTGGCGCTGGTGTCCGCCAGAGGTGACCCGCTGGAGACAGTGCAGGAGGTGGTGAACGGCAAGCCTGACCTGGCGCCCAAGTGCATCTGGAAGCGCATGGACGATGTTGAGGTGGGTACAGAGGCGGCAGGGCTGCTGGGGTAGTGCTGATGACGAGTTCTGATGTATGACTAAGTGCATATGGGACATGGTTTTCAACATGGAATTGTGTTGGCAGGTGGGACCTGGGCAGGTCCATCGGGCGTCCGTATCCCGGGGTTTGGTTTGGAAGGCCTGTGGTGCGACGGCGCACCTTGACCCTTTCCGCGCTGCCAAACCATCCATTTGCGCAGCACGGCTTCTGCGCCGCCAGGGGTGACTACAAGAACGAGGTCGTGACTCAGAGGGTGGCCGAGGCCGTGCAGCTGCTCGCCGGCTTCTTCACCAGCAACGTGGCGTGACCGGCCTGCCCCTCGCCTCGCTAACAACTACCAAACTGTGCTGCATCCTGTCGGACTTGTCAACAAGCTGGGCCTTGATCGCACATGCTTCCCTCAAAATTGTGTCATGCACAGGCTGCAGCCTTTGCGGCTTCCTGCGCGCGCTTATCCGTCCTTTGACCGCCCTTCATCGCGAGTCTCTCCAGATCATTTGCAGTGCTGGCTTCTGCTGCCACGCGTCTGTCGACTGCACGGCTGACTGTCAATCAACGCTTTGTGTGATGGGTTCTTGCAAGCAAACCAGATGTGCTTTGTGCGCTGGCCGAGCAGCCTACGAGTGGTTGCACATCATGCAATTGTCAAGAGTTTGTCCAGCATCTTGAAGCAAGTAATACCAACGCATGTGCCGCACAGAGGAGACATGGTATCGTATGATGTGTCGCACAATGGCCGCATTCGTTGAACCTGCATGTGCAACGGGCAGTGACGATTGGATCAGTCACTGAGGTCACTACTGTATTTGGAGTCAAACATGCCTGGTTCGATAGGCACAGAAGGCATAGCAGAGGCCTCCAGCACATGTCGTTTGCTCGACATCGTATAAAATTGCGTGCACGCGAGCAAGGGCTTCGCGAGTTGTCGCCGCACGTAGTATAAATGTCCGCGCTATGATATTGAATGTATTAGCCATTTAGTTCCCAATGAGCAAAGCCCTGAGCCGAGGGGCAGCCAGCCTTGTGCTCGCTTATGGTTGCGGCGGCAGGCTGCGGCGCAGCGGCGTGCGCGCTCGGCATGCGCGCTCATCGCCCCGCGTGGCTGCCACTGGCACGCTTGAGGCCGCTGCCGCCGCCAGCCTGCGCTGCAGCACTGGCATTGCCGGCAGCGCCCACGCCGCGGTCAACACCAGCGCCGCGGCCGCTGTCAAGCCGGACGGCAACGCGCATGACGGCAGCACAGACTGCTCAGATGCGGACGCCTGCCACATGCGGCGCGCGCTCGCGCTCGCGCGCCGCGCCTTCGAAGCCGGAGAGGTGCCTGTCGGCGCAGTCGTCGTGGATGACCAGGGTTCAGTCGTCGCCGAAGCACACAACATGACAGAGGCGACCCAGAACCCACTAGCCCATGCCGAGCTGGTCGCCATCCAAGCGGCCGCCGCCGCCGTCGGCGGCTGGCGCCTCGCGGGCTGCACCCTGTACGTTTCGCTCGAGCCGTGCCCCATGTGCGCCGGCGCGATCCTGAACGCGCGGCTGCGGCGCGTGTGCTACGGCGCGCGCAGCCCGAGGGTCGGCGCCGATGGCGGGTGGATTCGCATGCTGCCGCCTTACCCAGCAGCGGCCGCAGCAGAGGGCGCAACGGCAGGCGGTAGCGGCGGTTGCTGCGAGCAACACCAGCGGGGGGACCACCCGCAGGTGTTGCAGCAGCAGCAGCCGCCGCAGCAGCAGCAGCGGCAACGGCAGCACCAGAAGCAGCAGCACGAGCCGCCGCAACGGCAGCAGCAGCGCGGCGAATCTGGGGAGCCTTGGGACGCCTTCGCAGCTGTCGACGGCGCGTTCGGCGCAGCCGCGATCCGGCCTCTGGGCCCCCACCCGTTCCATCCGGCCTTGGGGGTGACCCGCGGCCTCTTGAGGGACGAGTGCGCCGAGCTGCTGCGCGCGTTCTTCAGGCGGCGGCGGCACGAGGCGGAGGAGCGGCGGCGGTTGCTAATGCAGGTGCAGCGGACGAGCAGCGACGACGAGGAGGCGTAGACCTGGGGGGAACGTCTACCAACACCTGTGGTGCCCCTGCCCGCTGTTGCTATCAGGATGATGCATTACCTTGTTGTATATGCGGAGCCCACTGGTGCATGCGCCTCCGATCCTTACCTCAAACCTTGAGCTCCATCCCTGGACAGGTCTGGCAGGGGCATTGATTTTGAAGTGTCAATCTCTGTCATTTTACTTTGACAACTGTGAAATCCCCTTTCCAAGTGGTGCAACGCGGTTTTATGCAACTCACAACAATGTGGGAGGCACAGTTAGTCCACGCCATTTGCAGGCACTGTGACGTTGAGCGGCTGCCTTGCTCGTTCGCCCAGCAGATTCTGCTGACAAGTAACCGCCGACTGTGACATCGCTTTGACTACCGCTGGGCTGCTGCATTGTTGACAGGTGGCTCAACTCTGAGCTTAAGTGCGCTGTGCAGGCAGGCACATTGGGGTGTGCCCAGGTCCGCCGCCCCTGCAACCGCTCGTGATTGAGGCACCACCTGCATCGATCCAGGTAATTCAGACATCTGTGAGAGACTTTACACCAGATATAGTGACATGTAGCAAGGACACAAGCATGTCCTGTCCTAAAGAGTCGTCTGTGGGCTGCACGCACCCAAGCTTCTCCATCGTCATTATGAATCCTATTGTTGATCTTGCGGGATTTGCTCGCACACCACCATGTACGCCTTGCGCACTGCCTGTTTACCACCTCCTCGCCCATGTGTCATCGCCTCCACTTCAAAGTCTTCATTAGCCACCGGACAACGCACGTCACATTGCAACAGATGGTCCCCCATGCATGCGTTTGACCATTGTTTGAATGGTTGGTTGCCACAAGGCGCCCATACAAGGTTGGCTGAGGCCCAGAACCATAGAGGGTTATTTGAAGTAGCGTTTGTGGAAGTGTGGCGTATTCAAATGATTATGCTCGCCTTTGCAGCTCTAGGCAGCAGATCCACACTGTACGACAGTTCCGCATGTGAGACATATGGTACGTAGTACCGGTGGAGGTACACATGAGCTCACGCATCACGATCAGCGTGAGCGACGTCCAGCATGCTGCCCGGGGGCAAGATCTGCGACGCGTGCTGTGGTCGTCCTGATCATCTCATGCGTCTGCGGTACCCCTTTGCAGGTGCTATAGATCTGTTTGCATTGTACGAGTGGTGGTGGGGGGAAACTCTTCTAGGCACGCCAAGATCAAGCGCAGCACGAGCAGCACATGCCGCTAGCGAGGTCATCAGCGCAGCAGCACCAACCGGGGCACCAGGAAGTCGAACCCAAGTAGGACCGCTCGCTCATTGCAGGACTTGGTGCATATGTAACAACTCATCCAGATCTTATTGCATTGGGGGGCAAAGCAGGCTTGAACCTCGTCCGTGGGTTGGATTGCGCCCTGGTTGACTGGTGGACGCTGTTGCGAGTCTGCGTCCACATCAGTCCAGGCCAAACGGCATGGGCCACAATGCCGCCTGCCAGACGCACGACAGCAGCGGGTCCGTCAAACTTTGGTTCACCCAGCTTAACCCCAATACCATCGCTCTGCAGGGCCAGGACGCGCTGCAGGCTGGCAGCCTCTGGGCACGCCTCTGGTGCTGGCTCGCTGGCGCCCCGCCGGCCGCCGCCACCGCCGCAGCCGCCGCCGGCCCCACCAGCCGCCCGGCTGGCAACAGGCCCCGCGCACGCACTCCTACCCACCCCTCCCCCGCCGCGCCACGCGGTGATGCTGGCACAGACTCCCGCGACCCACACCTGCGCAGCCCATCGCCCGCCAGGCAAGGCGCCTCAGCCGCACAGCAACGCGTCCAGCCCCCCCGCGCAGCGGTCGAGGGCCCAAAGACAGAGCCTGCGCAGCCGCCGCCTCATCATACCAACCCTTCAGCTTCCCATGACTCAGAGGGGTCTTTGACCAGCGATCAGCCGGCCGACCCCGCAGATGGCGGGGCCCCCGCGGCCTCCGGCGCTGCCGCTGGGGAGCCCCTTTCGCAGCCGCCCCAACAGCCGCATGAGTCGCCACGTCACCTGCCTGCGGCGCCGCCTGCAGCCGCTCCATCCCCGGGCGCCGACGGCTCCACGGCGCTGGTGGCGGCGGCAGGCTTTCCCCCTCCCATCCGCCGGCCCCCACCCGCGGCAGCGACTGAAGCTATCGCTGCGACGGCGGCGCGCAAGGACGGCAGCCGCTCGCCCGAGGAGCCGCTGCAGTGGGCCGAGTCAGGGATGAGGCTCCAGCAGGACCCTCTCATGCTTGAAGCTGGGTCGCCGTCGCAGTTGCTGCGAGGGCAGGGTCAGGGGGCGGAGCGTCCCCGCGCGCGCAGCGAGGACGCAGTGCACGCGCCGGCAGCAGAGAGGGCACTCAAAGCAGACTCCTCTTTATCTCCACGCCCGTCGAGCGGCTCTCCGACTTCCATGCCCGAGGAGGAGCCGCCAGAGCGTCGCGCCAACCAGCCGTATGTCTTTGCGGCCCGCGTCGCTGCTGTCATTGCGGCCGCCAACGCCCGGCCGACCGAGCCTCTCTGCCGCTACAAGAGACGCAGGGCGCGCCAGCAGCGCAGGCGGCGGCGGCGTCGAGCCCAGAGCGCCGAGGCCTGCCGTTCGTGGCGCCGGCCGCAGTCATCGTGTTATACGGGGCGTCTCAGGTGACGGGCCTCTTGCCTGAGGCGCCCCCACCTCGGGAAGATCTCAGCAGGGACCTCGGGCCCGGCACTGGTTTGCTGCACGAGGATGACCCACTCAGGCGGCTGCAGGAGCAAGTGCGTGCGGCAGTGCGTCCCGAGACGGGCGAGGACGAATTTCTTGAGCTGCTGGAGTCAATTGAGGCGTCAGCGTGGGCGGCGGCGGACTCGATGGCGGTTCAGCGGCCAAGGCTGTTCACAGACGAGGTGAGGCGCTGTGCTTGGACTTTTAAATTGATGGCAGAGGCGCGCTGCCTACAGACAGCGCCGATGCCAACGCACGTCCTTCGGCGCCGCCTGCGCCGTCACCGCGACGTCCGAGCAGCAGTGTCTCTGCAACCGACAGCGCCGACGCGTGAACTGCTGCCCGCCCCCCCCCCCCCC